CCCACCTATCCCCTCCTCCTACCTCAAGCCGCACCTCCATCTCCTACTGACCAACCTCATCCCGCCCCCTTGACCTGTCCGTCCTCCCTGGACTGACCTATCCCCTTCCTAACTCCCTACCTACACTCACCTTTCCTGGCCCCATCCCCGCCTCTTCGACCTGTTTGTTTCCTCTCCACCTATCCTCTCCTCTATCCCTCTTCTATCCGCCTCCCACTCTCTCCCTATTTATTTCAAAACCCCCTTCCCCTCCCCCTTTTCTGAAGAAGGGTCTAGGCCCGAAACGTCAGCCTCTCTGTTCCTGTGATGCTGCTTGGCCTGCTGTGTTCATCCAGCCCTGCACCTTGTTGTCTCGGATTCTCCAGCATCTGCAGTTCCTACTATCTCTAATTCTAACAGAAAGCAGCATTTCAATTGAACAGGGCTTCGAATCACAACAGGCAGTTAATTGCAAAGGCTAACAGCATGTTGCCATCTTCAAAGTCAAATACACACACTCCCAAGCATAGCTTCAATATTTACACGTGGAGTGAATCTCTGATAAATGAGTAGCTCTGCCTGTATAATTTAAGACAACACTGGTGATTTGTCACCAAACCATCTGCTCACAGCACTACATTGTCATATATGCACTGTACACTTTGGATTATTCAATCCTAGCATCATACAATAACTTGTTCACATCCCCTGCTTCGCTGATCTTTGGCTTTGAATATTCATGCTTCAAAAGAATTCCCAACCTCAGTGCTGAAGCAAAAATACATCCAAGAGTTTGGAAAGGCTTTCATTCCCAAGCAGGTTCTTGCTGCTGAATTAACACAGGGCTCACACTGACGTGCACCCCATTCAAACTCAACTGGCCTCACTTGCTACAATTCTGCCCTCAGGCTACCCAGGGGCTCATTGAGCAGCCAAAGCACAACAGGTAGAAAACAAAGGGAGCACTGAACAGAGAATTTTGCCAGCAGTGTATCCGCAAAGCCTGCAGGTTCCCCCCACCCCAATTCACTCACAAGATGAGGACATTGTTGGCTAGACCAGCATTTATTGTCCATCCCTAATTGCCCACAGGACAGTAAAGAGTCAATCATATTGTTCTGGGTCTGGAGAGACATGTAGACCAATTCAGGCAAACATGGCAGATTTCAAGGACAGTGACCCAGATCAGTTTTTCCTGACAAATCCACAAAGGTTTCATGGTAATCTTTAGACTTACTTCTGAAAATTTTGTTCATTGAATTCAAATTCCACCATCTGCTGTGGCAGAATTTGAACCCAGGTCCCCAGAATATTAGCCGAGTTTCCTGGATTAACAGTCAAGCAATAAATTTCGGTTATCTCACTGCATTGTGCCCCCCAATGCTGTGACATGACCCAATCCCTGGATGATAAGTGGAAGAAGGTGAATGGAGGAATTACAAATCAGAACACGTTTCTTATTGGGTTCGACATTTTGCTTTTATTTCTCAATGCTACAGAGCACATAGATTAGTTGAAATGCTGATTGCTTGGTCCAGTCCCTTCCCCCACCAGCAGGTCATTAAACAGCAAAGCGACACATCGCAGGTATCCAATTTCAAACCAGCAGCAGGTTGGAAGAGGAATAATCTCTGATTCTCAGTGGTGTCTGAAGGAGCCAGTGAGATGAAGCATTTCTCTTGTGCCTCAGTGGACATCAGCTGTTTGAATTTTCATTCGAGACTCACATGAAAATAAACTATTTCTTCAAAGTTAAGAGACAGGAAGCGTTGCTGTAAGGCTACAAATGATTAATACAAAAGCACCAACAAAATGGACACATCCAGTTACAGAGATCAGATGTGCTGCCAGTGGATTCCACTTGGAGATGGCCCTGGCCTGCTGCATTCATTATTCTCCACCACACAGCTCGAGCAGAATCTTCTTGTAATCACCAGAACAGTCCCCCTAGAAACAAAAAAAAAACAGAAGTTCTCATTCCAGCTTGGGAACGACGTCTTTCTTGAACAAACATTGCACCAACTGTAACCACAGCTCTATCATCATCATCATTTCTAATAATGTCATCACAACCATGTGGCAAGTGTTGACAGCAAGCACCCTCCCCAGGAATGGAGAAAATGCAGTCTCTGTGCCTTGCTTTTGTCATTATCCTTCCCACTCAGCTTCTGGAGAGCACCACCCATCCACTACCTTTTAGCCAGACAGCTCCCAACTCATCATTCTTTGTATGGTGCCCCAGCTCCTCTGATTAGGATGTCTCTGGCCTGCTTCCACACCAATCCTCTACAGAGGATCCCATTCAGACCCACCTCCCTATAACCCTGCATTTCCCCATGAATAACCCATCTAGCTTGCACACCCTTGGACACCATGGGCTATTTAGCACGGCCAATCCACCTCACCTGCATATCTATGGACTGTGAGGAAACCCATGCAGACAGGGAGAACAGACAGACACAATCACCAGAGGTCAGAATCAAACCCAGGTCCCTGGCACTGAGACAGCATACCACCTGGGCACAGATTTCTGCGTGTTTCAACAAGGAGCTCTCCAGAATGTTACCACCCTCAACCTGAGGTTCAAATGGTTCAAAGCCACACTCAGGACCCGAGATTCCAGACCAAGCCCAAACATTGCAGTTGCTGCACAGTAAAGGAGATGCAGCACTGTCAGAGGGGCTGGTACCACATCGACCCCCTGCTGCTCTCCAGTGGTACACGTACAACATGTAACATGGTGAGGAGCAGGAGGGATCCTCTGACATCCTGGAACATGTTCATCCTTCCATGTTAAGAAAAGAGGCTTTGTTTGTGAGATCTTACTATGCCAAGACAGCCAGGAACCCAATATGATGGGCCACAAATTACTTGGAGACAGCTGGAAGAGGCTTACATTCATATTGCAGCTTGTACAAGCCAAGGCCACCCCAAAGCACTTGATTTAACGTGTCACTGGAGAACTGAGGAGAGTCAATTTGCACTGAGCAATATCCCACACATAGCTGTGACCTGGTCATCTGTGATTTCATTACTGTTCATCCATGGAAACGTGGGCACAGGCAACAGGGAGAACACCCTAGCTGCTCTTTCAACAAGTCGCACTCTGGAACACAATTCCCATGACTTGTGTCCATCACATATGTGTCATTTACAAACCGCATCAATTCCCTCTGACAAAAATAAGTGAGGTGGGGTGGGGAAAGTGCATTTCACATTCTTGTGATCACCAGGAGGCGGACATATCATGGCTATCACGCCAGTGGGTCATGCTGACGGGCAATCAGGAACAGATCACAGACCGTTGTCCTGACTGAGGTACACACACTGTTGTTCCTCATACGTTCACTGCAAACCAGCCTGACTCTGCCACGTTGGCTGTATTGATGGAGGTTGGACAGAACAGAAAAAATTGTCTTTTTGCGGCCATCAGTTTACAGTGGGTTTTAATGCCCGAACTTTAGTGACTGAACCTTTTTGGACTGAGGAACCCTGTGGATCGCACTGTTGCAAGGTTTAATATCTGGCCTATGCTCAATTCACAACATAGCACAGGGGCACGGTGCAGCTTTACTGGAGGGAGAGACTGAGGTTTTCCAGGCTGGCAGGGGATGGGGAAAGTGTCAGTGGTGGTGGGAGGAGTAGTGGGTAGGCAATAAGAGGTTCTGCATGGGTTTGCGAAGCATTTTTGTGGTATGCTGAAAGAATACAAAAAAAGGGTCTGTTAGTGTCAGTCAGCAAGCATGAGAAGTATTGGCTGATTCCCCAGCAGTGATCAATCAAGCATATAAAATCCAGGTCAGGTTCGAGTGAACAGCGTACAGTACTGGCTGGTTTCCATCTCATTCATGGCTCTATTACATGAGCTTCCACACACATCCCAAATCAACATATAGATTTCTGCAAAGGAATGACCGTGTAACTTGCAGCAACATTACGGATCGCGATTGTCCAACACACTGCTGTCTGAATGTTAGTGAAGCTGATTAAACACTGACAAACCCACAGTGCAATGTTGCAATCCTGCAAATCAGAGACATACAAGTTTGGGAAAAAACCTGCACAATTCCAACACAACATCAATGGAGGAAGTCAAGACCTTGATAATTCCAGTTCCATTCTTCACTTAGGAAGAGGTTTCAATCAAATTCTCATTTGTTCAGAAAGTGTGTCTCTACATATCTTGATGATCTCTTATTAACTTTCACCCATGGTGAACCTCTTGCACAAAATTTTTGCTTCATCTAGATTTTAAAATCCTGACAGCTTTCATCTGCAGCTGCCCCCAAAAGGGCACACATGGATTATCTTGTGCCAATTAAATTGTTTCAGTCTGTCCCAGCAGCCAGTCAAGTGTTGGGCCTCTCTTGGAATAGATAGAAATGATTCTGTGGCCCGTCTGTGAATCACGACGCTTCTTTCTGGCTCAGCTCAAACCCTCCGCTGTTGCCAACTGCATGCCTGTTGTTCTGCAGCCATGCATCCCTGTCCTTGGCCATTCCCTGCCGGAACGTCAACATTTGGGCCAGCTCCCTAACTGGAATGGAAAAAGACTATCCCAAAATGGACTCAACATCCTCCCAAACAGAACGAAAACACAAACATTGTCGCCAAAAAGACCATGCACTTTATGTTACAGGTTTTACGGCACCAAGAGATGTCGAAGGACATGTCTTAAAAAGCTAAGATCAGTGCAATTTTCTACAATTCAGTAAATATGTTTTGTTAGTACAGATTCCTGTTACTTTTCAGTAATAGTTGAAGATGTTCATTTTCTGGCCTGCACTGTATTGTCAGATTGAAATCCTGAAAACAATCTATGATTTGCAATAGAGAGGTTTTGAGCTAATTTAATAACTCAAGAGCCTCGCTTCAGTTCGTAGCCATTTGACAAAAAACTCACTGCTCCAAGTCACATTCCACTTCACAGCAAAGAGTGGGTGTGCAATTGATCTCCATATTTAAGAAATGATGCTGGGTGACTGCTTCGCAGAACACCAACATAAAGGGAATCCTGAGCTTCCTGTTGCCTGCCCCTTAAACAGTGTTCCTTGGCTAGTATCTGTCTCAGGCTTGTTGCGATGCTCCAGTGAAGCTCAGCGCAAAGTCAAAGAACAGCACCTCATTTTCCATTTGCAGTCTTCTAGACTCAATGGAGTCCAACAATTTTAGGGCTTGAGCACCCTCTTCCCCCCACCCACACACAACAGGCCTCTCATTACATGGGCTGTACCTTTTTGTCAGCTACTAATAGCCCCCAGCTTTTAATTCTCCTGGGCTGCCTTTTACCTACTCCTTTGTCTGGTCTGTTGTTCCCTCTCCACCTATCATTTACTCCATATCCCCGCACCCTACCTTCTGTTTAAAAACCATGCCTTGCCCAGCTACCAGCAGTTCTGAAGGACAGTCACTGAATCTGAAGCATTAATGGCTTTCTCTCCAATGATGCTGCCAGACCTGCTCAGGTTTCTCCAGCAATTTCTTTTTTCGTTTAAGGATAATACTGGCATTAGGGGCAGTATTGGTGCCCCAGAGCGAGGCTGGGATAAACAGGTTTTTGATCTTTCGGGCAATCTCGGGACATGAGAAACAGGGTCTCAATGTGACAGAGGTCAAGCAGCTTTAGCTTAGAGACAGAGTGTAGGGATTCATCGAGCTCCTCATTTTCAAGTTGTTACAGGTCACTATTCTTAAGAAACACAAGAATAACCTTTCAATGATGGCAAGGGTGAAACTGGGGCAGATTCAATGTGATTTTTAAACAGTGGTGAACACCGTTAATCTTGTACAGTCTCCACGTCAACTTCCACCTAATGTATATGTCTTGAGGAACAGTTCAGTCTCAGGTATAAGTCATCAGCAGCAAGCAGGTACTGACTTGTCTGGACAGCATCTCCTCACCTCACACTTACCTTAATGAAAGAATACAGGGACTTGCCGTACATCCTCTGAAACTCCTGTTTAATGTCCAGCATGTCAACCTCGCAGCGAGACACCATGACTCTGATCAAGGTGTCGTCATCTGTTCCAGCCCCCTAAAGATCAAGACAGCACCAGGTTAGACAGTTGTTTTGCGCTTTTTGCGGGAGAAGGGGATGGGAAGAAAGAAAGAGGAGAAAAGCTGACCAAACCCTTGCAGGAATAGAAGCTGATCTGTCCAGGGCCATACTGAGGGAATGCTACACAGAGCAGCATCAGCACTTGGACACTGTCTCGCATGGAGGCCTGTGTGCCCAGCCTCTAAACACTGATCTCAAAAGAATCCAGGATACTACACTGAAGACTAAAAGGAATGTTCTCTCAAACATTTGAAATCAAATATGGTGATTAGATCGATGTTGTTTGAAGGATCTTGCATTCGATTGGTTGGCAGTAACGACACTTCAGATACAAGTGCAGAGACTGTGAAAGGGTCAGAAGAAAATATAAGCCTTGGTTTTATTTTCTCATGGTTCAACAATAACCCTATCATTATAGAGCTCAGAAATCGTTCTGAATACAGCACTCCTGCAGCACTGAGCCTCTGACACAGGCAAACTCCCTCTGCAATGCACTGAGCTTGAACAGACAGAAGTGACTGACTTGAAGCGGTGTTTGACCAGCAGACAGAGAGCTGTCCCTAGAGAGCAGCCATTGCTACACAGCAGGTGATCGTGAACCTCTCATTCATTGCATACTGACTGTATCTAACCAAAATCAGCAAAGGTCAAAACTACTGTCATCCTGTGTGAAGCTGCATTTTTAACCATACATGTGAACAAAGTGACTCCTCAACTCTCCCCACAGGAGAATTGGTTTTTTAAAAAGCCATCAAATCCCCATAGTGTGGAAACAAGTTATTTTGCCCATCACATCTACAGTGATCCTCTGAAGAGCATCCCACCCATACTCACCCCTTTACCCTATCCCACCCTGTAATTCCCACAGCCAATCCACCCTAATCTGCACATCTTTGGACTGTGGGAGGAAACCCACACAGACAGGGAGAATGTGCCAACTCCACAGAGACAGTCACCCGAGGCTGGAATCGAACCTGGGTCCCTGGCGCTGTGAAGCTGCAGTGCTAGCCACCGTGCTGCCCCAGCACAGAGAAAAACAAAAATCGATGTGAGCTGGAGTGGCAGTTTGGTCGAGGTCACGTGAAATGGTTTCTGAAGGTAGAAACGGCTATTTTGCTGGGAATAGCAGCTCAGCTTTGGTGGAGAAACACCAGCAGGAATGCAACAAGCTGCACTGTTTTGGGGAAAGCAATTGGTGCATTGAATGGGCTTGGAGCTGACCTTATAATTGCATGGCCCCAGTCAGCTTTCATATTCAACCTGCATTTCACAGAACCCAAGCATCATGCACAGACACATTTGTCAGCTCACTGAACATGAATGGCATGGACGGGACAAGATTGGAAGGATTTCCATTCCTGTGTAGTGTAGCTACCTCCTGGATATTAGACAGCGGAGAAACTCAAAACAGCTCAGGTGTTCCAACATCACAAAGTGTTTGTGGGTTTGGAAACTACGTTGGGCTGGATAGAGTGACACACACACACACACACACACACACACACATCTGGTGCCCAGTGAAGTTTTCAGTCAGCACCTAACTACACTGCAAAGCTTCGCAACAGAATTGGTGAACGTCAGCGCCAAGCATTGAGTCTATTTACCTTCATAGATTTGTACAGCCTCTCAGCAAAGTAGGCAGGTTGGTTCTTCATGTTCTTAACTGGGTGGTGGGGGGGGTGGGGAAGGGAGGGTAAGGGTGGTTCAGAGAGAGATTCAAAAGCCATTAGTCCCACATGAAGTGCACAGAGGGCAAACTCAGTCAGGGAGAGGGGAGAAGACACCATCACTCACCAATTGCTAATAAAGCTGTTTCCAGACTGCCAGACATCTCTCCTTTAATGCTGCTTTCAATGTCTTTGTTCGCAATAATGTTGTAATCTTCAAAGACTGTTCAGAAAGGGAGCACACGAACAACGGTCAACTGGCATTTCCACTTGCTCAGTGTGTTGCCAAATTAGCTTCGTTACCAGAAAGCAGGAAACCATTCTAGCTCTTCTTCCACAGCAGCTTGCACACTGCATCTCCCACCTGCCTGCTCGCCCTGCACTCTTACACACAGCCTTCAGTTTCTGGTGGCTGGTCTAGTGCTTGTCCCAATGATAGGACAGCAACAGGCTTGGTGATGCCAATCTCTCTGGTACATAGACCGAGGCAGAAAACTGTGCAAAATCTCAAAGGAATCACAGGGAAAAGACACAGGCTGTCCAGGCTCAAGGGCCATTCAGTGCTGTCGATCATGCGGTGCTTGCTTGTCAACAAGCCCCTCTGCCCACCGTGAGTGAGGCTGGTATTGAGTCTTCAACATCTCTGGGTTTCAGGATGGAAAGCGACAAAAAAAAAAAACCCACACTTTCCAACCATCCCTTTGGGGCAGTGCTTGCAGTCTGTCAGTAAATTCTCACCATTGAACCACGTGGGACAAGGCACTGAACTTCAGGGAGCCGGGTCACCTTTTTGCCCGTATCCTTGGGGAGGGAAAAAAAAAGCCACCCTTCACCTCCATCCCATTACAGAATGTGGAACAAGAGCTTTGTACTTGCCTAAGTGATTTCTGCCTCTGGACAGTGTGAGATGTCCAAGACAGTGGAACAGATTCCCAGTCAATAACAAAACCATGGAGCCTCCCTCCTGCCTTGTTGCCCCGTGGGAAGTTTCAGAAGGTTATCAATGTGAGCAATCCAAGCTGATGCTGATAGGGACAGGCTCCAATCCGGTCAAGCTTGTGACATTTGTCCTCAAACAATTCCTGACTTTCCAGATACTGGAGCAACTGTAATGCCAGTGGACCAAAAGCAAGGTGCCTGAATCAGGTCTTTGTTGGTCTGAGGCCCCAGGAGTGAGCCCAATGTACTATGGGGGTTCCCTTAACATCTGCAGTGCTGACAAGAGCAGGCAAAATACAGCCAGCTTGGGACAATGTGCCAAAGCAGAGCAGACTGTAGGAAGTACATTCTCAGTATGGCTCATCACTTAAAGTCTGCAATGTTTGAACTTAAAGCTTTAGTGCTTTTTTTTTTAATGATATCCCCAGGTGAATGTAATGTTTACTTTTAAAACTTAGTTCCTTAATTCATTCTTAAAGTTTTTGTACCTAGGTACTTGCGTCTAAGATTGTGTCACCACACATAGCACTGAGGACTTGTCCCTGTACTCCTGCAGTTTTCTACTCGAGAACACATGGCATCGTCTAAATGATGAGGGAGATGAATTGGGTCACGCAGGACAGTGCTCCTCTGGAGCAGAGAGATCATCACCGGCCTGTCAAGCTCAATGAAGTGACAGTCCTTAAACACTGCAGTGCCCTGCAGCCCCAATCCCCTTTCCTGTCCCATGCTCACTGACACTGCCCAATGGAGGGGTTTAGACAGTCCAAATCAGCACTTCCACTTGATGCTGCAGCAAACTGGCTAAGGAAGACTATTTCTCAGCTTGCAGAGATACACAAAACAAACATCACAACATGGTACATGCTGATGCTGATCAGAGAGAAAGGATGGGTGTTACAGAGGGTCTAACATCCCAGGAGACTACATTTAATATTCCATTGGGACCACACAATAACATTAAGCACCTCCTTGGTATTGTACTGTCGAGAAGACACCTTTCTGTCCCCAGGCAATACCTGAGCATTTGATTTTTTTTTTTTTTTTTTTTTTTTTTACAATTTACACCTCATTACATGAAGGCCAAGCTCGAGCTGCCTTGAGGCATCAGATACAGTTCTGCAACTATTTAAACCAACAATCTTAAATTGGCAGAACATTGTCTCTGAAGACAAAGCTTCTGGCGAAACCAGCTGCTTTCAGCTCAGTTTGCAATCAGGCACAGACTTGGTACTTGTGCCCTTCTCAGCCAAAGGGATCTTTCCCGTTTTGTGCTTTGGCTGAAGAAAAATTTGAGGATGCAGTCCCATTTCTTCCCAACAGGCTGCAATAGAGCAGCAGTTTTGGACAGATCCTGAAGGACCCGATTTGAGATTCACAGGAGGGAGTCAACATTTAGCTGATGCAAGGGGCACTGGCAGCTACTTTGTCCAGAAAAACATGGTGGCTCTGTGCAACATTCAGGCCCCCAGAGGCTCATGGCTGTGGGTTCACATTCCACTCGAGACACTCAAGCACAATTCTCCAACAACACAGCCAGGACTGGACTCAGGCAGCACTGCACCACCATAGGTGCCATCTTTCAGATGAAAGACGCATTTTGTTGCCAAGCCCCCCACATCGGTCTTCTGATCACTATCCTGAAACGATCCCTGTAACCTCCAGGCTCCACATGTCTCTGCTGTGGTAATACAACTGTTTTGGTACGTCAATCTGTTCTTCACAAATTGCCCATTGAGTCCAGGGATGTGTAATTTAGGTGGGTTAGCCATGAGAAGTGCAGGGTGACAGGCTGGGGGTGTGGGTCTGGGTAGGATGCTTTTTGGAGGGTCAGTGTGCACTCTATGGGCCAAATGGGCTGCCTTGACGCTGTAGGTTTTCAATGCTTCTCTGAAACCCAGTGTAGCGTTGCCTAAGTGAGAGCCACTCCTTCTACATGTTGAATCACAAAGGGAGCAGACAGCATAGATACGGAAGGTTTCTGTCAGCAGGGACATTCCTGAAAGGAAAGGAATGACAGTGGGTAGGCAATAGCAAAACATTCAAACAGTGAATGGGTGAAGGAGAAAAATTGTTTATTCCTGTTTGGCACAGGAGTACAAGGAGAAGAGCGAACAAACCATGGCTTATGAGGGAAGGTAGAGAGGAAAAAAAGTGTACACATTAGCAAGAAAAAGATAATAGACCCGAGAATGGGAACAGTTTAGAAATGAAAGGAGGACGCAGGGATTGATAGAGAAGGGGAAAACACAGGACGGGAATAAAACTTGTGGGGAACAGGAGAAGTGACTGTAAAATTTCAGACGGCATCTAAAGAGAAAAATATTGGTCAAAACAAATGCGGATCCCTCACAACCAGGGAATTTCTAATGGGGAATAAGGAAACGGCTGACTCTCAGACCTCGTCCCGTCATCGTTTCCCTGGAGATTCAGGACCCGAGTCTCAGCATCAACTCCCTCCTTGTCCTTCTGGATGAAGAATTTTATCATATTACGGTCACTCATCCCCCGAAGCGTCTCTCACAGCTCCATTACCAATGATTCCTTTCTCATAGCATCGTCTCCAATCTATGACGGCCTCTTCTCTCGCCGTTTCCTCCATGTATTGTGCAGCAAGCTATCCTGGGGACGTTCCAGGATTTCCTTCTCTACGCTATCAGGAATCATGTGATTCCCCCAATCCAACTGCAGATTAAAGTCACCTACAATTCCAGACCTTCTTATAGCACACGTAGTTCAGATTGGCTGGTTAATGCCGTTCCCAACATCGCTGCAGTCTGGTGCTCTCTCTCTCTCACCCTCACTAAGATTTTTGTTTGTTATTTCTCAACACTACCCACACAGATGTCACATTTTCTGAGCAAAGATATTGGATCAATGTTATGTTGATATCCTCCTTAACCAATAATGCATTCCCACAGCCTTATCCTTTTTGTCTGTCCTTCCTAAATCCCGAATATCCCTTGATGTTCGGTTCCTGTCCCTAGTCACCCTGCAACCATCTCTGCATAATCCCTGCTATATCCTGTTTGCGGGATCAGGTCATCCACTTTATTTCAAGTGATCCGTATGTTCCTCGTCCCATTCTTTTTTTTTTTTTTTAAAAAAAGAAAGTTGAGGCTTTGTTTGATTCTCACCTTCAATCCCTTGACCTTTCAGCTCTCTTTTCCCCACCTTTCCATGTTTTGTTCACGTCACTGATTGCCCTTCCTCTGACTCCCTGCATCCGTTTCCACAACCCGTCAACTTAAATTTAAATCCTCCCTCATCACTTGCACAAATACCCCCCTGTAGGGCTTCAGTCACAGGACTGCCCAGGTGCAAGCTGTCTGGTTTGTAGTGGTCCCAATGCCCTAGGAATCTGTAATCCTTTGACCGCACCATCTGTTGCACTGTGTGCCCATCTGACCCATCCTGCTGTTCTTACTCTGTACACTATGTGGCACTGGTAGCCATCCTGAAGTCACTGCCTTTTGAGGTCCTGCTTGTCAGCTTGCTTTCTAACTCCCCATATTCTGCTTTTAGGGCCTCATCTTTTTTTTGAAACCTATATTGTTGGTACCAAAGTGTACAGTGACCACTGGCTATTGATCCTCTCCATCCCCGATGTCCTGTAGGCTTTATTCACTGCTCTCTCCATCGGTCCTGCCAACTTCAGTGACCTGCACACGCACACATCCAGGTCCTTCTTTTCCTGCATCTCTTGCAGAAAAGTACCCCTGATTTATCTTGTCTCTGTGCTCCAGGTGTCCAAATATAACACCTCACACTCATCCACAATAAACGTGACCTACTGCTTGCTGGTCTATTCGGTCAATCCGCCAACGTCCTTTTGAAATACTACACCAATTACAACACTTTCACCTTGTCTCCAACCAGTGAAAGCCTTACCTTTTCGCAAATGGGCTGGGTTCCGGACACAGAGAATACTCAAGAAGGCAGTTTCATCAGTGCCCCACTGCTTCTCGCCTGCTTCATACAGCACCTGGTTTACAGTGTCACAAAAAGGAACAGAACAGTTTGCAGTGAGACATAGTTACGAACTGGTATTCTTGCTGTGTGGTCACTCACATACCACTGGAGACCAATGGCAGAATAGCATCAGTGAAGACAGCGTTAGTGAACAGGTTGTGGAACCGTTCACAGTAATGTGAAGCTGTCTTTTTTTCTTAAAAGACAGGAACTCCATTTTGCACTTAAGGTCCCACTGAACAAGTTAAAGTGCGGGAAGGAGGCCTCGTGGAAAGGACAGAATGAAGCATTTCTTCTTACGGTGTGGGGCTGCGGAGTGAAGCCACACACCTAGTGCTCGAGTCATGTTTTACACCACCCAACACCAAAGATGCTTGGGCACAGGCTTGCATATGCAAGGGTGGGAGCCTGTACACTCAGCCCCTACACAGTCAGCAGCTGACAGCTGTTGGCTTTCAGTGTTTGTCATTTACCGATTGCTCTGTGCTGCCATTTCAGGAGGCAGCGCATTAACTGGGAGCATTAAGTTAACATGTTCCTGAGCTCTACCTCCTGCCAGGCAGTGTACACATACACAGCTCAAATTTGAAAACCACAAGATGCTTTTCAAAGGCAACATGTGGATTATAGGTGCAAACGTGGAAGGTTATTTGTAGTCGACATAACATCCAGATTCAAACAAACACGGTCAGTCAGTCAGTGTATATGGTTTCACAAGGCAATGGTTCTCTGTGCAAACGAGGTGTTGGAATGGGATACAGACAAGTTGAATGGCCAGGAGACAGGACAGACTGCATTGTGGATGGTACATTGATTTCTATCTTTTGGGCCTACTTGGGAATGTCAATGTCTTCGATACGTTCATCGAAAAAACTGCAAAGAGGGTTATATCGGAGAGTGAGCGCACAAGTTAAATAAACAGCACAGTCCTTTATCTAAAGGAAATCTAACTTGTTGCAACATCCAGTTGTTGAGAGGGAGGCAGATTCAACATGTGTCGCTATAGAGGGATCTGGGCATCTCTGTGCCTGAATTGCACAAAGTGGTATACAGCTACAGTATCTGACATTAACATGGTTGATTAATGACCATGAATCCTCTGTCCATTGTTGGAAGAAACCCATCTAGTTCACCCATGTCCTTTAGGGAAGCCCTATATCTAACTCCAGAGCCACAGCAGTGCGGGTGGCTCTTAACTGCCCTCTGGATAATTAGGGATGGGCCATAAATGCTGGCCCAGCCACCAACACCCTTGTGTGGTGATTGAATTTCTTAAAAAAAAGCACACTAAGGAAGGCAAATGGAATCGTGGCATTTATTGCAAAAAGGACAGGATTATAGAAGTTAAAAAAAGAAAAAAATGTTACACTTGAAGACATTGGTGAGATCAGACCTGGAGTACCGAGTCCCGTTTTGGCCTCCTTGCTTGAGGAAGGATGTGGTGGCACTGGAGGCAGTTCAGAAGAGCTTCATCAGATTGATTCCAGGGATGAAAGGGCTGACTTACAAGGAGCAGTTGAACAGGTTAGGCTTGTACTTGCTGGAGTTCAGCACAATGAGGGGGAAATCTGATGGAGGTTATGTAAAATGCTGAAGGGGATTGAAAAAGGTGGGCATTGAACAGATTGGCTCACAAGGGACAGCATATCAAACAAGAGGAGATTATAGATATAATGAGAGAGGCGGTAGTTTCTCCTCATCTCAGTTTTGAACCTACTTCCCTCAGAGGGTTGAGAATCTGTGGAAATCACTGTCCCAGAGCACAGCAGGGGCAGAATCATTCAACAGACTTATGAGGTAGGTGTTTCTGATGAAAAGCAGGATAAAAGGGCTATGGGGGTGTAGGCAGCAAAGTAGCATTCAGATCAAGAAAGGATCAGCCATTATCATGTGAAGTGTGGAGCAGGCTCCAAGGGCTGAAATGCCCAATCGCTCCATGTTCCTATGGAAACATGGAGAGAGAGGATGTAACTACCTAGTTATCTTGCTGTGGTTCAGCCCCGATCAGCTTACATCAAACCAGAGCTGTACAAAGACCACAAGCTCTCACTGGCAGGAGCATCAGACAGCCTATAAATCTGCTAAGTCTGTCACACCGACACAGCACGTTTCTCCAAGGCTCAGCCTCAGTTTGTACACAGTCCCCATTAGTCTGTTTGTTCGAGCTCACCTTGTTACTAACTATACATTGAGCAGCTGCTCAGAGCCTCAGGAGCAGGTGGGTTGCGTGAATAGCTCATCCACCACACAGACTGGCCCAACCAGGAGCTGGGAAAGATCCACGGAAAAATGCAAAAGGACTGTGGCAGGTGGGGGAGTGCAGTAGCAGGGAGAAGGCAGGCATGGGGATAAACAGCCAGGAGCGTAGCGGTGACACTGACTGGTCACCACAAACCACTAGCTTCACAGCTGAAATCTTTCACTGCAGAATCATCACCTTCCTGTCAGTGAGGGCACAAATATCCCTGCTCTTGTGCTATCAGAGATTAGGATCATGTGACATTTCCTATAAAAGATGCCATTTGTGTTGTAATGTATCAGTGTTCACTCCTGACTACATAAGGGAGTAAGAAGGGGCCAGCAAAGAGTGGGGTAGGGGGAAAAGCTAGAAGCAGAAATAGCCTGACAGGAAAGAAAATAAAAATATGTTGTTTCGGTTGATCTGAGATAAGAGAGAAAGTAATTGGCAAAGTGGATTCAGTCTGAGCATAGTGGAGTTCAAGTCTGACCACCATCAGATCCAAGAGAATTATCTCAATCCATGAAGGCATGGTGAAGTAGAGTTATCACAGCCATGTACCTGCAGAGGTCTGAAAAATCAGGAGCAAAGACCCCAATCTGTGACCTGCAGAGCTGGGGGCTCAGCTGGAAGCAATCTACTCATGTTACAGCCGCTCAACTGGCCTGTGATTTAAGTATTCGAGTGGCTCACATTTATTCGTGGTGGTTGTAGAGGTCTCAGGTCATGACTTACCTGCGCATCCTGCTTGGCTCGCTCTTCATCCACAACACTTCCTTCATCACGGTTACCCTGTGAGCAGCAAACAGTTTCTGTATTCACTTGTTGCAAGGAGGAAGTAGCCAACAGTGCAAAAGGTTAATTTCTTGGAGATCAGTGACAGAATTCACAGACAGGAAGTAACCGCAAAATAACCCCAGAGTCCTGGAGTACAGCTTCACATACATGCAGAGATCTGGCATTCACTACAATATCAACTCAGGTACAATTACATCTGACAGCTGCTGAACTACAGTCTGACCAGACCGCCTGTGGGCAGTCACAGTCCCATTCCTGTTATTGCACATTGTTCAACTCCGGGACCAGAGCCTCCGGTCTCACCCTCCAGTTTTACCCCTGTCAGTCCACAGAAAGAGAAAACACACAGCCTCCTCATCCCCTCAGAACCAACATGAGGCTACTTTTAAACCCAAAACTGGCTGAGTTGGGATGTGGGGTCTGTCCTATGATGAAACCATCCATCTAATGGGTATCGATTCTCTACAGTTTTGCAGCCTAAGCAGTGATCTCACTGGGACCTGCAAGATTCCCAAGTGGTTTCACAGGATAAACTCGGACAGGTCCCATCCTGCTGAGTGGGACATCTAAAACACAGGGCCACCTTGTCCACTGACCTTCCTTCTTAACCTGAACCTCAAACATGAACTCTCGTTTCTTCTCATAGATGCTGCCAGGTCAGAGTTTCTGCAGAAACTAAATAACAACCCAAAGAGCTGCAGATGCTGTAAATCAGGAACAAGTTGCTGGAAGAGTGCTGCAGGTTTGGCAGCATCTGTGAGGAAACAGTTAACGCTCCCAGTCTGGTGACCCTTCCTCAGTTCCCCAGCAACTTCTGTTTTTGTTTCAGATTTCTAGCATCTAGAATTTACTATGATTTTTTTTTTCATCAGGAGCAACGTCAGTCTTATCTCGCTGTCAGTTTCACTCTCCATTGATGGTACAGCAGACAGACAGGAGGCAGGGTCTTAAACTGGCCTGCTGACCAAATCAGAGACTGGGGGGCGGGGGGTGCACACTGTCACCAAGAACTGACCTGTGGGGCTTTCATTCCCTTTCCAGCCAAAGGAACTTTGGGAATTGCCTCCCCTGTGCCAGAGAATGGCAGACAACAGCCAGATGTCAGTAACCCGAAAGCAGCAATAAAAAAGGTGCAGACAGGGGGCATCATTAGCCAACAGTGAGCCAAGGCCCTGGCTATGACAGTCACACCTCATTGTGCGAATCTGAAGGCACCTGTATGGGTCTGACACACACAGCTTCCAGAATATTTATAAAAAACTAGCCACATGACACAAATAGGTCTCACAACAAGAGCAAACAAAAAAGGGAAATTAGTTGTACACAGCAGTGAAGAGGTATGGGAGCTCTTTCCTGGCACAACTTAAGGGCTCATGGATCCTTGGCTTTACATGCTCGCTCCCTCCAAACATAGTCCTACTCAGACACGCTGGCTTCATATCCAACAGAAACGCTGGTCAGTTCTGCCTGTCAAAATTAACGTGCCATTTTCTGTAGCTCGAGTCGAAACATATGCCAAGGACAGCAGGAGTGTTCTTCTAGCAGCACAGAGCTCATTCTGGCAAGTGTCAGATGTTGGAGAGGTTGTAACTGTAGCTGCCCAGTTCCTGACCTCAGGACCCTTACTTGAGGGCAGGCTAGGATCTGCCAGCTGCTCCTTACCGTTGCCAGGGACACGAGCACTCGCTGGAACATAAGGGAAGTGTCCCCACAGATGTCATCCTCCAGACTCTTGCCATGCTCTGCAAAAGCAGAAAAACCCTCCATGTATAAGCTGGACAGTGAAAAAGGAAGAAACACAAAAACACTGACAATATTTCAGGCCCCACCATCAGGAGATGACAACCAGCATATTGCACCTGTCCAAAATAACGTTCAATGCTTCCATTTCAAAGTATTCAATCCAGAATTGAAATTTTTTGTCATCTCCCCCTCTCCAATTCTCACTTTCTACAGTCTACAACCCTCAGCTGTTTCTGCAATCCTCCACACAGCCTCTTCATTAATGCATGGCCAGTCATCCAGACGCTCTTTAATTTAGCGACAGTACGCTTCAACAACAGATCTCAGGTAATATGAAATCTGCCCGGATACATCAGGGGTTTAGTTGTTTTTGTCGAGTGAGTTACCAGTGGTCAGTCACTGAGACACATTGCAAGAGCTCAGATTTCTTCAAATGAAGCTTACTTCATGAAAAAAAACAAACATCTACACATAGGAGACCTTCAGCAAGATCTCAGACACAGCAAAACAAAGTGCATGAAACTACTGGTTGCCAAGATTCAAGAGCTGAGAAAATTCACCCGCAACTCTTCAGGTTTCACCCGACTCCTCATGGCTTCCTCGCTTTGAACTAGGATAAGTCTGAATCCTTGGCAAATCAGTTGAGAACTAGGCACAAATCTTCACGCCCAAAAACCTGAAGCTTCCTAAACCAACATTAAGTGAAAAGTTTCACAATTTAATCCATTCTGCTGAGGGTGGACTGGTTCCTCAACTGTTTCCAAGAGTGAAGCTCAACTGGTTTCTGAAGACAGTGGTATCTTCTGAACTAACCCACCAAAAAAAGAAAAACACCTTGGCTTATTGGACAGCTTTTTCTGAACCTAGAACAAAGTGAATGGACCTAGACATTGACCTAATCCATGTAAACACAACAGCACTATCCACTTCCTATTCATAGCCCAGGGTCCACAGAAACCAGTTTTCCCCACAAGGTGCTGAATTTAGTCACTGTTCCATTGGAGTCTGACCTTCTTTTAAAAGAAAAAAGGATCACCTATCACAGAACATGCCGACAGCCTTTTTGACATTCCAGTTTCACAATTATATTTAGGTCAACTACCCATCTTAGAATCAAAACTCTAAGCCCTGCTATTCACTAAGTCATATAGCACACAAATGGACCCTTCAATCCAATTCGTCCATACTGACCAGATATGGTAAATTAATCCATCTCATTTGCCAGTATTGGACCCATATCCCTCTAAACCCTTCCTATTCATATACCCACACAGATGCTTTTACAACTTTCTAATTCTAACCACCTCCACCACTTCCCGACTGCACTTCTCAATCTCCCTGGTAAAGATCTGATCAAGCTGTTGGTCACAGCCTGTGACTTTTAGGTCTGCTTACACACTGTGGGAGACTTCCTCACTGCACCACAAAGTTTCCATAAAGAGGACATGCTGCTGATACATCAGAGAAAGCCTGTACAACTCTCATCACATACCAGTCAACTAAACCAAATTTCGAATGGGGCAGAAGGACCGGAGAGTTTATTGCACAATAAACAGCAGTTTTATTTTCCAGCAATAAGAGGAAAAAAGTTTACCGTTCTTGTAAGTGGCAACAATTTGCTGAATTTCATGGTTGCTCCGTGAAGCCAGAATTTCAACTAAACAGCCTTCATCAGTCCCAGCACCCTAGGGACAAAACAGTGTGAATTAGTCGCAGCTTCCTCTCAGATTGCAGAGAAGTGTATTGTACTCCCGATGCATTCATTGTTCACCACAAAATGGAAGATAATAACAGCCCTGAAGGCACCGCAAGCCGCTCAGAAACAAATTAGAACGGATATAGCCATTGCAGCTTCTGTGTCAGCCTGGATACCAGTTGTGACCCAAAAAACAAACAAACAAAACACCATGCATAGCATGGTAAAGGAAAGGCTTCCAATTTAAACAGAGCACCTCTAACATTGCTCAGAGACCTAGGGCTATGTTTGAAAATCTTCTGCGCAATTAATCACTCCTGGAACAGTGACTGTTCCATCAGTCAGTGCAGCAGTTAATGTAATCGAACAACAATCCAACAACGGTAAACAAAGATGGGATGGATCATTTCAGCAATTCCTCTGTTGATGCAGTGTTGGAGGGAGGATTGACTGAGTTCAGGAAGGACTGCAAGGTTGCAGAGTGCACTTACATGTTTCCTGCAGGGGACAAACCTCCATAACATTCTAAATGAAAGAAATGCTTACTAGGACAGTGGAACAGGGAGGCCTCTTATTTAGTGTCACGGTTAAAGGGTGATAGCACAGAAACAGGCTTGTTCAAACTCTGGTGTTCTATTCTACAAAACACACCAGCTGATCTGTTTCAGAGATCATGGACAGGGAATCCAATAATGACCTTGAATAATGTGCCATTTCTGATCACACAGATTCAAGTCACTCCAGAGAGAAAAGAGCCTCACTCTAACAGCTCCACAGAAATGACATTTGACAATTAGCTCAATTGATGGTGGTGGAAACAACCTTGCAGGATGACATTTCTTTACAAAAAAAAACCCAATATATTTTTATCTTCAAATAATCAATTGTTCCAACAGTCCATCAAACAGAAGGTCGATGTGTGATGTGTCACTGACACATGGTACCAATGTTTGGCCAGAAGCTGCTCAAACTCCCACTGGAGGAGCAGGCATCATTGATCAGACAACATGAGTCAACAGCAGTAATGCTGAGAAACAACTCACTTTTCCAACAAGCCTTCAAAACACAAGACAGATTTTTGGCCAAGATTTAAAAAACGTGACGCAGCTTGCATCTCAAATGAACACCGATTTCACAAACCTTGACCTGCAAAGGCACCGCTCACTTCAGGAACTGAGTAAACAACCTCAGGGGAGGCAATCAATAGTCTCGAATAGGAGCTGGACTGATGAGAAAGGTGAATGGCAGGGAGACAGCTGGCAGTGTCACTGACCTATTCATACAAGGAGGTTGGGGGAGGGGGGCCATCTATTTTACTGATCCTAATTCACAATGAACATTGGCCAGAACACCAGGGGAGTTCTCACACTGGCGACAATGACAAGTCTCATACAACTTACAGCAGCTTCGGAAACCAAAAGCAGGCTAAACGTGGGCAAAGGAAGAGGCCGTTCAGCCCCTTCAGACTGTCCTGCTATTCACCAAGATCAAGATTGATTGGTGACCTGTAGACCTGCATGTGCCCCACATCCTGTTCCCTATTCTCAATTAGCAGAAACATAGAAACCAGAGGTCGCCAACGTAACACAGACGTGCCATCAGTAACCGTTTGTGGAAACCGAGCTACTTTTATAAAAGCATTTCCCTCACAATGAACAAGTTTGCAAAATTGGACTGGAGAACGATCTGGCTTCAATTTCGAAAACCAGGCCATCCCCACCCTATGCTGGGTCTTCCATCTCATGTCAAACGAGGGGACTTGGGTCACATCTTTCAAGACTACCATGGAAAAAGAATTAATTTCACGTCAAACGGCTGTTGAGAGCAGAAAACATGGCAACCATGTTGCCTACATCAAGACTGTACTAACATCAGTGCAAGGAGGGATCGATCTGGCATTTTAGAGAGTTCTTTGAGCAAAGATGTTTACTTTCTCAAAATGCTTTTTTTGCTCCAATTGATCATTAATAAGGAGCAAGTACAGGGAGACCAGAAGCAAGATTCTACGTCCCACTGTCTCCCCATCACATGGAGCGTCAACTCTGGTGAGACACAAAGCTACTTTGCTAACCCTGAGTATGCCCAATGATTCTGGTAAACATCAACTCACTGTAGAGCCTTAAGTGGTGGACTGTGAAGCTTCACTACCTGGACGGGAACATACACGTTTGTCAACGGAACAAGTCTGAGCCCACTGGGTCTCACACATCCTTTGTCTGCAGGCACCCATCCAGCCCTCAATTCCCCTCCCACAATGTTCCAGTAGTCACAGAGTGCTCACAACAGCTCACATACCTTGATGGCCTTTTTCAATTCGTGCACATCGTACATGACAGGTGTCATCATCAAGCCAAGCACAACTTGCTCAAAATTGCCAGATATTTCGGACTTCAAGTCACTGATCAGGTCCTGCAGCAAGGTATATTAAAAAAGGAAAAAGAATAGGATACAATGTTAAAACGTGCAGTCCTTTAGCCCTGACGACTATCTCGAACTATGAAAACACATTCCCAGATATTTGCACCACTATGTCAACATGACACGAAGGAATGGAATAAGCAGCATCTAAAACACCAGGGAGATTCCCCATGTTAGTTTCCTGCAGCACATACACAGAATACCGTGTGACCAACTCCAGCAAATGGTGTTGATATGAAGCTACCTCAGGTCCTGCAGGCCCCACCAATTTCCATATGTGGCTTCCCCTGCAAGGGGAGGGGTGAAGTGCCACATTTACACTTAGACCCACACGTAGACACTCATCCGAGAAGCAATGCTTTGCTTCTCAATGTTTCCATGGCAGTTAGACTCGTACAAATATTGTTGTAATCTCTGGAGGCTCATTAACAGCTCATAGGGAAAGAGTACCCTCCATATTGACTTGTGTACACCAACGAAACCTGGTCTAGCAATTACTGAAAGCACATTCCCTCATGAATTCCACTGTCTCCTCAAGAGGTCACAATCACTCTTTGCCTAAGCTTTTCTCTCTCTTGTGGAATGATGCTACTGTTTCTGATCCTGGCTTACTATCTCTCAAACACAGACTAGCCAATTACAGACATTGCTCTTGCCAAAGAATGTCAACCCTTTGAGCAACCATATCACACGTCTCATCTGGAGGCTCCTCAGTAACACTGCCTCACTGAGAACTGCAGTCCACTCTGCCATCAGCAAACAGACACTATGCAGAAGACACAAGATACAGAACTGACCTTCTCCTGTAACTAGCAGAGACAGAGGAGGCTGGCAATCAGAGCCAACAGGCTGAGGCAGGACTAGGACACATTTAAAATTGAGGGAGTTTGACAGGGTTGATTTAGAGTGTAACAAACTTTGGCAGAACCCCAACCAGAGACCCTCAAAAATATGACAGGGTTACTCCTAAATCTGAAGTCAGGAATAGGGACATGGATTTACATGAAGGAGCATGAGGTTTTCAGGGGATAGGAGGGAAAAACTTATTCTGCCCAGTAGCTGGTGGGAACCTGGAACTCAGTGCCTGTGAGGGAGAGAGGCAGAAACAAAAACAGTCAGCACATGGTAGTCATTAGATGTGTACCTATGATGCCAAGCATACAAGGCTATAGGCTAAGTGTGGGTCAACGGCAGCAAAATACTTATTTGGTTTTTTTTCTCCACAGCACAGACTTATGGGCCAAAAAGTGACTTTTCCAGTGCTGCAGATCTTGTGACTATGACTGGATTACAGAGAAAGCGAGAGAAGCCAATGCTGATGAGGTGTGACAACAGTTGAGGAGCAAGTAACATGGTACAGAGATATTGACTGTGAGCAACTCAAAAAAAAGTTAGGAGAATTTGAAAAGTAAAACCTTCACTAGTTGTTAACAGAGCAGTGAATAATTGAGATTTCCCCCACAGAGCGCTTTGGTACAATTCCTTTTTGTTCAAAAACAGCGTTAATGTTTCAGTGCCCAACACACAAAGACAGTGACAGGATTGTGTTTACTCAACAGGCAGCAAGCAGTTGTTGGAAACTGAAAGGATTGGCCTGCTTTAAGTGGAGAAGATCTGTGGAAGGGAACAGACCATAGTCTGAGAACACAGGAAGGTGGCCCAGAGAGACAGGCAGAAGAAAGCAATTGGCCAACATGGACTCAAGGGTGGGGAAAAAGGAGAAGAGCGAACCGAGAGGTCAGAAGTTGAGAGTTACAACAAACATCATGTTAACGTAGCCACGAGTTGGAGCCGTGAGTAAGTTCTGTATACGTGAAGGAGGTGAGGAGCTAGAGGTTAACCAAACTGCTTTATTATTTCAACAGGTTGTTCCTTTTCTAAACATCCCCATTTATTTCCCCCACAATAGACATCTGTTACTGCACAATTTTTCTACGTGGAGTTTCAGTTCTGTTTCTTCTGGATCCTCTGAAACTTCAGTGAGCTGATTTTATGAGGACAGAATAAAACACAACTTGCCCTGCCAGAGCAGTGCTGATCATAGCCAGATTCCCGAGGCAGGTGAAGGGCTACAAATGGCCATCTCTATCCCACTGCCCAAAGCTGGGCAGTGGCTTCACTTCTGCCAAATATCCAAGGAACCAACTCTACAGTGGTCACGACTCATGGAATAGTAGAGAGGTAGAGAAAACTGCAACAGCTACCAGAGATCATAACCTTCACTCAGGCCGATGAGACAAGTCGGAGGATAGACTACAGCATAAACTGGCTTGTTGGTGTTTACTTTATCCTCAATTTGGCTGAACGCTATGGGAAAGGGTTAATTGAGACCTCTCAGTGGAAGCGAGTATATGAATGGAGATATTCCCTGGTGTGACTATCAGTTCCACCAAGCCTGAAATGCAGTTGATCCAGATCGGCAGCATGAAACAGTTATCTGGCGGCCTGCAGTGGACGAGAAGAATTGGAATTGACATCACCAATTAGTACATTTTTCAATGAGTTCTGAAAGTTGCAGTCAAAAACCATACCCTGCCAAAAGCAGTCTTGAAGTCTGTTTTGATCTGCTGCCTCTGAGCTATCGTTCTTCTGGCCAGTACCTCTATGATCGCATCCTCATCAGTACCTACACAGCAACAGAACAGTTTCAAAAGGGAGCTCGTCATTTTCTGGTCTAAGACGCATAAAATTCAATGGTGTGTGTTTGGCTGTGGAAGATGAGCAGTATTCGGCAAGGTTTCCACTATCAGCATGTGATAGACAAAGGAACTTTAACTCTGCACCAAATATGTTACAGCAAAGAAAGAAGCCATTCAGCAAACAAAGCAGTTGCCTTACAGAGTGGTGGAAAAACAAACAAATGCTCACGAAGCAACATCAGCAAACAGATTTTTACAGTGGGACTCAACACTGAATCCCTTGCAATACATCCACATACATTGACCGACTGTTTTTCTGTGAATTTCCATTATAGTACTCCCAAAAATGCCAGATCATACTCCTTAGTTAGAGGAGACATGATTACAATTCAATACATGTGCATTCTGAAACTGCAAACCAAAAGCTACTAAAGAACGTGATGCAATTACAACCGACCACTCAGAATGATTGATTGTGTAATTTGCACATTAAATCATGTAATCCCTGGGGCAGGAACACCATACTTCATCAGGGAAGCCACATTCCCATCTTTCAGTGCAGAATCACGAGAGCATACATACAATCATGTTCTCCATTCCCATCTAAAACAGTGACAAAAAGTAATTACAGTATTTTTACTCAGTTGATGCACAACATTCATTTTCAAGTTTTTGCTCTTTACATATGGCAGTGGGGGTGTTGAGGGAGAATATTTGTGGTCAAGTTCAAGTAATCTGAAGGTTATCTACCACTGAGCAAGTAAGGAACATAAAAATGCCTTGGTACAATTGACTACCCGAGTGCCATCATCCACACAGAAAGGTGTGGGCACTCCGTACCTACAAGCAGTCTAACTTGATTCAGCGTGACCTTACAAATCTGCCTGCCTCCTTTTGACGCAGAGATGGACTGGACATTGCAAAGGTCACAATTATTCTGTGTTGTTCCAAGATGGTCACGGACTTGTCAGAGATGCTTCTGTAACTTTGCAGGTTGTTAGGTTATTTCAGATTTCACCAGAATAGCTGCACAAAGGAGGCTGTATTCCCTGCAGGGTAAAACCTGGTAGGGGATGTTTAGATGTGGAGATGTTTAGGCTGGTCCAAGAATTGGTTCTCTCTTCCCAAAGTGGGCAGAACAGAGGCCAACTGAAACAGTATGGGCTGATTGTTCAGGCAGCACTTCAGAAGGGTGTGCAATAGCAAATCCACTCCAATCCCAAAACATTGCTGAGATCAGGGGAAAAAGGAAAATATTCACACAGAACAAAACAAAAAAAAAAGTAAGTTGGGTTGATACACACAAACAATCTACTTGAAATGTTACAACAGGTTAGAGGGGCTGAATGGCCTTCTCCTGGTGACGCATCTGATAGAAAATATTTCAGAACAAATTGGAGCAAAGGTGGAGCTGTTTTGCATAGAGTATTGCTGCAGAATAAATGGAACAAAGTTTCAAGTGAAATTTACCAAGGCAGCTGAAAAAAAAGACATTCACCATGTCCCATGGGTCTCAGACACACCCTGTGGCCCCAAAACCCCAGAACGACATCTTGGTGAAATGAAAATTGACCGATTGGGATACAAACCTAGTCCCTTCATTGCCTTTCTCAGTTTGGCAGCATCTTCCTGGGAATTGAATCCAGGGTATTGTTGGACAGTGCCACGTTGTCCCACCTGTCACAAGTAAAATATAGTGTCATCATTCTGCCCAAATCCATTCTTTATTCTGACCAACCGATCGCCATTTATTACCAAAAGGTCCCTGCTTCCCTACCCTCCTCTTGTTTACCTGGTCTGTGTCTTGCCAAAGGGTCTGAGATTTCAAACATCAGATGAGCTGCTCAATGTCGCTCATCAACTTTGGAAACTCTAGCTGCAGGACATCAGGTCCTTAACTGTAGGACAGTGTGGGACTGTCACTGTGCATCACTAACTGATCTCCCTTGTCCCCCACCAACACTGCCCTCCGAAATGTGGGTGGCAGCAGAGATTCATCAGTTTTCAGCAACGTGTCCCATGTCCTGGGTGTCATCATCCAGCACAATTCCAGCAGCAATGCCAAAGAACAAACACAGCCAAGTTCTGTGGGGGAAGAGCTACACTGCAGTAAATAAATACGAGGAGAAGTTAGCTGTCTAAACTGACTAGAAAGGCAGACCCTGTCTTAATCAACTTCTCATGCTGCAGCGTTGATCACCTCGGTTCAGCCGTAAGAGATCAGTGAAGCAGGAAATCACTGTTCTCAACACTACAGGCACAGGGATGAGGTGGGCAGCTGGTGATGAAGAGCAGGCACATTGCTGCCACTCACGATGCTGCAGCTTGAGGGTCATAAACCAAAACCAGTATCTCACCAAGACAGGGAACTGCCAGCTCCCAATGTGTCCACAAACAGAGAAGGGAGGAGACACGCACACAGTCAATTACAGAGCAGTCTTTCACCAAACCGAAAAATCCAGTCCATAACCAATTAAAAGGCATCATGATCTTTAAGAGAAACCTCCTCCTGGAAGCAATCAGAGCTGCTCTGAACAACAAAGCCCTGCAGGTTTCTTTCTGCACTTGTATGAGGGGATGTCAGGTCGCTCACCTTCAGGATGGTTCCCCTCATGCTGCAGCACTCCTGCAATGCTGTGCCCCAGTGTTAGCCCTGAGCACACCGTGACGGCTCAAAGTGGGATTCTAGACCACAGCCTGCTGACTTTGGTCACTATGCAACTGAGAGCAAGTGGGCCAACACTGCATCATGTAGCAACACGTCCTGACAAATTAGGGTCACATTGCGGCTACTTTAGTATCTCGGTGTGTTCCAAATCGCTGTCTTGTTTCCTCTATTACATTAGAATGACTCAAAAGTGCACTACTTTCTTCAAGAAACTGCTCATACCCAAAGAACGATTTGACAGGATTACTTCTGAATAGCCAGGTCGCCAAGAAAACCCATCATTAACACAGCCAGAGATAAGCAGCGGCATGGGTACAGTTTTACAAAGGGTGTGTTTGGATCCTCAGAACTAGGCTCCACATGAGGGAATTATTAGAAATGATGCAAACACCACTTCTCCCATGTCAAGAGGACACATTGCTGCATAAAAAGGATGCTCTCCAAATGCTATCAAATTACGAAGACCCAACCAATTATTCCCAGGAGTCTACTCTTGGCCCATGCCTCTGCGCAACATTATAACAGACCTGTCCAATTCCTTCATATAAAGAAAAACAACTAAAGGATGATGGAAATTGCTGCTGCTGCCTCCAACATTTCAGGTTGCTTACTTGATCAAAGCTCTCATCTGTCCCGAGTGGCATTCTCACCCCACGTCCTCTGGTTACAGACCTTTCACCTGTTTTGCGCACTAACACAAGAAAACTTTCCAAGACCTTGCCCGCTCCGAGAGGCACTTGCTCCCTTCTCGGATCTCCCCAGCTAAGTGAAATCATGGGCTCAGTTGCCATCGCTGGCCCCATCAGGACGTCCCACTCCCAGCCACAGAGCACAGCATTCAATCTGACTGACTGAGTCAGTGCAGTGTTGACGGTTGTTAAACCAAGGTCCTGTCTCTGTGCCAGGGAATACCACAAGCGCTCTCAGCACTCTGAACTGCAGGGAGTTCCCTTTGGTAACTTGACCAGTGTAACTCTGAACCCAGTTGTGATAAAAATAGTCAGGGTGAATCAATGATGTGGTCAGGGTGGCTGAGAGGCAGGCCAGTGAAAATCTGAACACAGCTTGCGTTAACGACTTGACATACACATCAATGCCAGCGTAGCATGTTTCCCCATGGCCAGTTTCCAGGGTTCACAGACTGGTGGTTCCAACCTCATGGGTGACATTTCACTCACAGTAACAATGGCCAGAGCATCTGCACATGCCTGTGATTTTTAACCAAGTGTTTCTGCCTGCCTTTTCTTTAGAAATTAGCAGGACAGCAGAGCCGCACTGATAGACAACGGCATCCCTTTCTGAAGATAGATAACACCTTGATGTAGTTAGCTCCATTCAACAAAAGCTGCTCAAGGCAGCGAGCTTGCCCTCAACTAGCACAGCCTGAAGCTGTGGGTCATTTGCTGGCCAACCCAATGCGGACTAATCATCCAAGGCAGCAGGCAACATGAATGCCAGGGTCAGTTACTCATTAACTGGAGCTGACACTGTTTATTGGGAAATGCTCCCACACACTGATCAGGTGTAGTGGCCTTCCATCACAGGAGTGCTGCAGCTCAGTCTGAGATATCACTGGAATTCTGATGCAGTTTCATGTTCCGGGAATTGACAATGATTTGGATTTTTGATAGGGACTTACCTGCAGGAAAGCATCCCACGGCACACAGCAGAAACATCAACCCAACCGGTCAACAGTGATCTACACCAGACTATCAGGATGGAGTTTACTGTGTACAACTTGGCCAACGTGAGGAAGATGCTTCCTTGGTTGCAACAACATTTAGGAAAGCCCCATATATATATCCTGCAGCATTTCAGGTTTTGCCTCTTTGCTGCTAGAAGCAATGCGATGGATCATATGGCTGACCAAGTGCTGATTCTGGTCCTAACATCTTGATCGCAAGTTCCACAGTTGCCTCTTCCTTCAGAGGCAAAGCTGAATGTGAGCAAATTGAAACCAACTTCCTCAACATCCCCAACAAAACACCTCACCTAGTGCCGCGACAATCAAAAGCAAGATTTCTAAATTCAGACACAACAGCAAATTATGTACAGAAACAGATGGCCAACAGCCAATAGCAGTTAAGTTCCAAATTGAAGTATCTCCACCAGCAGGTTAGCTTTTAGTTTTTAAATTGCATTCAGGAGGACAAAGTTAAAACAAACCTCCACAGCAACCATAGTTGAGTTGTCTGAAGTGCTTCAGCAGTTCCAGGAGCTGGCCACAAGGTCAGGGGGTTCATGTGTACTCTTGTGTCAGAGAGAGAGAATCAAATGTGGCCAAAGTGCAGAAGCTCAGCTAAGCAAGAAACTGAACGGAGCAATACTGAACAGGCATCATAAAAGGATAATGCCATGTCAAATTTAATCAGGGAACATCATTTGAAGGAGATAAGGAAGACAACACTGTCAGGCACAAGAGATGATGGTTCAGGGGTATGGCAAACAGATTGCCCAAAGGAGTATCTGCTGGCATACGTGAGTGACCAACAGGCCAACAGTTGCTGCTGATATCATGAACCTTCTCCTGTCCCACCACCTCACAACGCAACCTCCCAGAGCGACAGCATCAAAGTGCAGGCCACACATGGAGACAGCCCAGCAGCATTCGTGGAGCTCTTAGCACACTGTTGATGGATACAGCAGTAGTCAGGACAAGTTGGAGAAATACCTGCCTCTCATCCAAGCCCAAAAATCAGCAACAGTAACATTCACACAACAGCCCAATATGGAGTTGACTGGTCACTCAAAAAACAATCCAAAACAGTCCAAGTCTTCACACAAGATCAGAGACAAAATATTTAACTGGTAGTCAGTGGAGATCACAACTTCGCTTCCGACTGTGCCAAGTTTCCACACAAGGCTGAAAAAAAAAAATCATAACCTGGCAAGCATTTCCCAAGTCAGGTCCAACAGCACACTAACTTCCTGCACAGCAGTGGCAATCCCAAGCTGTGCTCAGCCAGTGTTGAATAATTATTTCGAACTAGACAGAGAAGATAGGAGCAGGAGGAGGCCACGCGACCCCTCAACACTGCTCCACCATTCCTTATGATCATGGCTGATCAGTCAGCTCAGGACCCTAACCCTGTACTCCGTCACATCCCTTGCACCTCAAGAGCGACACCTACCTCCTTCTTGAAAGCATACAAGATTTTGGCCACAACCACTTTTTGTGGTAGTCAATTCCACCGGCTCAGTGAAGACATTTCTTCTCACAATCCTGGTCACCCCTGGTTTCCTGCCATTGAGAACATTCATCCTGTCTTGTCCTGTCAGCATTTTACACATTTCAAGTCTTCTTCTCAACTCCAGTGAACACAATCCTCAAATGAGTCACTCTGTCCTCTTACATCAGTCTTGCCATTTCAGGAATCCACTTGGGAAACCTTCACTGCCCTACCCCTACAGGAAGAGCATCCCTCCTCAGATATGGAGACCAAAAAACTGCACAGTATTCCAGGTGGATTCTGTACTCAAATCCTATATCAAGGACCAATGTACAGTTTGCCTTCTTCACTGCCTGCTGTACTTGTCATGCACCAGTCACTGAAAGTAAGTGCACGACAATACCTCGGTCTTTGACTATTCCTCTCAATTTGCAGTCAAATAATAATCTAACTTCCTGTTTTTGCTACCCAAGGGAATAACCTCACCTTTATCCACATTAAACTGCATCTGCTGTGCACTGGCCCGCTCACTCAACCCATCTGAATCGCACTGCAAAATCTCTGCATCCTCCTCACAGCTCACTCTCCCACCCAGCTTTGTCATCTAAAAAAAGTTGGGATATTATGTTTTGTTTCCTATCTAAAGTCATTAATATACGTTGTGAGCAGCTGGGGTCCTAGTATGGATCCCCATGTTAACCCAATAATTACTATCTGCCATTCAGACAAAGCCTCATGTATTCCTCCAGTTACTTTTTCCTGTCTACTAACTCGGTTTCTATCCATTGCCTGCCCCCGCTTCACAAATGGATGCGCACACTATACCAAGGTCAGCAGCAGGAAGCACACTTAGTGGATATTAATAGATCACGGCAGCTTCCTGATAATTAAGTTTGAACAACGCACTTATAAGAGACTGTCTTCTCTGGACTGTTCAATATAGTGTTACAGCCAAAAAAAACCACATTTGACAATGTGATTTTCTTTGAGAACATAACCCATGTGGGAAATCAGTTCATTTACTAAGAGTCCCAAAAGCCATTTACTAAAGGTGCTACGTCCAACAAGACGACATCTCCAGGAGTTGGGGGCGAATAAAATCTGTAGGTGCAGACGATTGGCTAATAGACAAAGTCAAGGATAAGTGGTGCTTTGGGTTATCAGCTGATAAGGGAGTAGATTTGCTCCAAGTGTCAGATCAGTTGTTATTTCTATCAGTTACCTGGATAACGAGACTGAACCAAATCTCATCCACAAACTTTGACAGATGGAAATCCAAGTTGAGGAGGACACAGTGCAAGAACTGGGAAACAGCAGGTGGTATCGCCTTGCCTGTTCGACTTCGACTCCCCTCCATTTAGACCTGCCATTGTTATTTTTTTCCTCGCATTTCGGAACTAATAGATCCACTTGCTATTCACTCAAGAAAGCCTGACTACATTTCTGCTAATGAACAAGGCAGTCAACTGGACCGAGAAGGGGGAAGGGATACTCGTTAAATGAAGCTTGCTGCAACCAGCTAAGGTCTGGAAAGAAAAATCAAGAAGGGGAGAGAGTTTAACCACTTTTCACTCAGGAGCAGGAGGACTTGGGGTATCCCATCTGAAGCTAAGAAATCAGGGAACTTCAAGGAGCTGGTTGTAAACATGGCAAGGAGCACGGAATCCAAGAATGACTGGCTAAGTATGGCCTCTGGATTACCACGTGCAGTTCATGTCTCCATGTTTAAACCAAAGGACATACTTGCATTGGACAAAGTACAGCAAAGATTCACCACTGGTCCCTAGGATGTCACTCAAGAACAAGGTGGTGTGATTCACTGCAACAAACAAGATTGTTTTAACAAAAAAAAACAAGGATTATGACGAGAATAGATTCTCAGAAAGGGTGATTAAAACATGAATTCTCCAACCTGTAAACCTTACACACCCCTCTCGAATAAAAGTGTGGGTTCATTGATCCCAAAACAATCACAAACAGGCTTCATTAATAAAGTCAACAGTAGTAGTATCACAGGAGCTGCTCACTGACTGGTACCGTATTTGAACAATGGATTTCTCTGCTGATAACATTTCACCATGTCCCAAACAAGCGATTACAGTTTAACTGGGAAGAAATCAAATCAATGAAACCTTTGACACTTTTATTGATCTCAGTCCATTCCATTAAATCTCCATCAATTCGTAAGCAGGCAGGGAATAGGTGAGATGGTCAAGGAAGGAAGTGGGGGGGGGGGGGGGGAAGCATGCAGAGTACTTACAGCTGCCATGGTAACAGACCAAACGGAAACTCGTCCTCAGGGAAATTCTGAGCGAGAAGGGAGATCAAAAACAAAAGCAGAGAAGGTTTATTTCAGAGAGAGTCAAGTTCACAGAATAATTGAACAGGAAGGGCAGCTGACTTGACAAATGGGGAAAGAGTTCAGAGACATGGTTAACAAGATACCCATTACCATCAGCTACGTGGGATGTAATCCCCTGCAAAACAGGGCAGACCCATGTTGCTGCCGCACAGCAGCACAACGTCACCCACTCACTGTCACATGGAGGAGACACTAAACCAAGGGACGCTTCTTCCACCAACTTCATCCCCCAGCCCAGCCACCAACACTGACACTGACACTCCCCACCTTGGGCTGATTGCGAAAACATCTCAACAGTTGGTGGTTTTTGAGTTTAAAAATAAAGTTAGCCTGCAACCCAACCGCTGGAAATTGTTATTTGCTCGTGACCACACCGCTGCTTAGGGGATTCTACTCTGAGCAAAATGCATTGCTGAGATTCTTTTGTTTCCATAAACCCAAAACAAAATGTTGCTCAAAAAAAATGGTGGCAAGGAAAGCAGAACCAAAACTGCCTGCCGGGCCCCATCACCATGTGACCCAGGGTATTTCCACACGCCCCCCCCCCCCCCGCGCCTTACTGGCCACCACCAGGAAACCAGCCTTACTCTCCAAATGGGTAAAGCCCACAAGGGCAAAGCAGACCATCAAAAGGGGAGGGAGAGGGGCAGGGGACCAGAGCAGAATGGAGTTGGGGTGTAGTCAAGGTAAAGTTGCCATCGTCATCTTGGTCCAGAGACAGACGCAGAGACTCCCCTCAGGCAAGGGGAGAGGTTGACAAACAGAGTCCTTCATGCTGACATCAGCCAGTGCAAGGATTGAACCCACGCTATTGGTCTTGCTCTGCATTGTAAGCCACATGTCAGCCAACTGAGCGAAACCACTTGCACTGGTTCCAGCAGAATTCATGGAAGTATCCAAAACAGGGGCCATTCAACCCATCCCAGCATGGTCAACCCCTTTCAGGCACTAACCAACTTTTTTCCCCCTCTGTATTGATTGAAAGGAGGTCAGTCAGGTGCCCTTCATAGAATGGGAGTTCCCTGATTGGACTGGGTTAACAGCCCCAATCAGGGAGCCCTGACAGGCAGAAACAGGAATATCTCCCCCTTCACCCAAGCATTGACCTTAGCAGGCTTTGGTTATTACCGGCTCATTGACCATATGGGCATTTTCCTGGTGCTGGGAATAATGGAATGAAGTTCTGGCACAATGGTGTCTTATTACTGAATCACTGCACATACACGAGAAGAGGGACTGTCAGAGGTTCTGCTCACTCTGAGCTGGCTCTGAGCCAACTGGGTCAGTGTCAATAAAGGCTGACTTGGAGACGGGTTCAGGGCCTTCATGGAGTTATTTCACCTCTCAGCCTGCAGATTCCCAGGGTGGACTGAAACTCGGAGCTGGTCCATTCCCCAATACTTTGGGTGATGTGGCAGTGACACTTCTGTGAAGCTCAGGCTCATGATTACAGAATGTGAAGTGCTGCAGGCCACACAGACGTCCCAGTCACAGGTCAGAGCTCAGCAGTAAGCTACTATCCAAACCACCAGGCTGATGACTGTCCAACACCATCTGGGCTCCTACACTTCATCTCGACGTAGATACCACCCCCACCCCACAAACAAGGCAGAAAGTGACCAGGGTTCAAACTCCTGACCATCATTAGGAGACTGTGTCAACATGGGTGCCTATGTGTTGTCACAACAAGATCCAATCTCCGTGCAGTTCAACCTCAAAAACACACTCTCCCTCACACTCTACAACATTCCTGGCTGCCCGGCACTAACTCACTCCAAAGCCGCCACATTCTCCTATCGTGGCTAGGTCTCAAAAAGTACTCCATAGGCTGCAAGGAGTGGCATTTTGGTTAGAGGATGCCAGATGGTCTATTGAAATGTAAGCTTCACCACAGAAATCAGACAGTTGATCAAGTGGGAGTGTTTCATAACATGCAGTACATACTGACCGAGAAAAGCAAACCATGGGGTTGAGGACAATTGAGATCCTGTTCAAAGTCAGATATTTGAATACAATAACAGAATGTGATGTTTAATAGCTAACCTACACTTCTGTTGGGAACACAGTCTGCCCCACTCCTGTACTGTACATACAATTTCCCCAGTCATCAGACCAGATCTATAATCACTGTGCACTGACCCTGACATTCACAACAACAGACCTAACCATCATTGACCAGGGCCCCCTCATTTCCATTATTCATTAGTGTGGAATAAGTACAGCAAGTGTCCTTCCCTAAACTGAACAGGACAGGACTGAAGCAGGTCAGATTCGGCATTTCCCAATTGTCATTACTGCCATCAACTTTTTACTTTGCCGTGACTGGAATTTATCCCAGAGAGTTGGAATTCCAGGACGAGCCCACACCTCTGGATTACCAGTCCACAAACAAAAGATCACACTGTTTGAAATGGCCCAGTGTTACCCAGGCTGCAATTCTGGAAGATGTGCAGTGAAGAGAAGGATTAAGACCAATTATTACAGTGACTGAAACAACAAGTAAACTGCATTTAAACGAAGTAAAGACACCCTCTGAAGCATACAAGAGCAACTCAAAATTGTTCCAGCATCATTGTCATTTCCACACGAGACCCTTATTTGAACAGAAATAAAAACACTTCCTCACCACTTTCAGTCAAGGATGCACACACGAGCAAGATTCCAGGAGCTGTGACACCCGTGACACCCGTGACACCCTGGCACTGAGTGCATTTGTAGGAAATGCGATAAAACATAACTGCACGACCAGGATCGGGCCAAACACGCACAAGTGACATTTCTGAGCAACGACAACTTTTCAAAGAGAAAATTAACTCCTACACCCATGAACCCAAACCTTTCATCACAGCTCCTTGATAAGAGGATTAACAGCTCGATTTGACCAGGTCAGGGGCTCCTGCAGGCTAATTTATTAGCTCATGCATAATTGCTCAATCCAAAACTGGACAGGCTAACAACACTGTCACCATTCTAACTTCAACAGGCTGCCAACCTTGGACAACCCTGCCACGAAAGGAAGAGAAAATCATCCTCTACACCCCTTCACCCCTAGAATTTATATTTGTGTTACTCTAATACTGACCTCCCAGATACAATGTCTCTACCATTGGTGACCATGCTTTCAATTAGCAGACTCCTAAGCTCTGGGCTACCCATCCATGATCTCTCCAACTCCCTTTCCTCCTTGGTGAGCACAAGTAGGAGATGCACAAGAACACTACCACAGAAGAAAAAATCCAAGACTCTTAAACTCACCTCCTGACTCCCCAAAGCCTGTCCACCAATTACAAGTCACAAGTCAGGACTGTCATCATTGACACCATCCAGGACAGAGCTGCCCACTTGATGGGCACCACATCTACAAGCATCCACTCCCTCCACCACCCACATGGAACAGCAGCGTTTACTGGCTACAAGATGCACTGCAGAAATTTAAACACCCTCCACACAGCACCTTCCAAACCCAGACCACTTCTATTTAGAAGTACAGCAGCATAAGCATGGGAACACCACTGGGTACAGTTTTTTTCCCCCCAGCCATACACCATTCAGACTTGGAAACCTACCACGGAGTCAGAATCCTCAACTCGCAACAGCTCTGACAACGTACACCCCACGAACAACAAGTTTTCAAGAGGGCAGCTCACCACCATCTTCTCAAAGACAATTAGACACGAGCAACAAATGCTGACCCAGCCAGCAATGCTCAGTGCTTCAATTAAAGCATTCAAAAATAACGCTTACAGCC